AGGACAAGCAGCGATGCGCGGGGGGGGGGGGGGGGGCAAGAGGGGGAGGGGGGTGTTCACGGGGGGGGGTGCAAATCATGACCGGCGGCATGTGCGCGGCCCAGCGGGGGGGCCTGGGACGTAATGAAATAAGAAGAGGCGCCATGAAATCTGCTCCTCCTCCTCCTCCTCCTCCTCCTCCTCCTCCTCCTCCCTCCTCCTCCTCCTCCTCCTCCTCCTCCCCCCCTCCTCCTGCTCCTCCTCCTCGGCCGCAAAGCCTGGAGCAGATGCAGTCGTCGTGCTGCCGTGCGGAGCGCCGAATAAGAAGCAGACAGGCCCTTCTGGCCACGGCGAGCCTCGGCCAGAGAGAAGCTCCCGACCCAAGTCCAGGGAACGACCCGAAAACCACCCGAACACCTGAGCCCCTCCTGAGCCCAGGGTGGCCCTCAGTTCAGCGTCTTGACCGCATGGAGCCGGGAAGAGGGGAGGGGGGAGACAGGGGGCGGAAGGGGGGACGGGGGCAGAGGACAGGGCGTCCTGCAGGATGAGATAGAGGGAGGCAGGTGGATGTGGAGTAGTTGGAAGAGGGAGAGAGAAAATATAGAGAGAGAGAGAGAAAAAAAGATTGAGGGATATCACCGAGGCATCACGAGTTCAGTGGCCCAGGAGTTCAGTGGGAGGCATCCGGAGACCGTAAAAGGCCCAACATGTCAACCCAGAGATGAGAGCACAGCCATGTGCACCTCAGCTTGTTTTGGCCAGGGGTCGTGGCCGTCCGGACCAAAAATGTAGCCAGCGTTGGGGCGAGAGCACGACATCTGAACACAGCGCGAGGATGTCTCGGGCTCCCCTTTCCCCCCTCTGACACTCCGCTGTGGTGGGTGTTTTACCACTATTGAGACGCTCTCTCGAAACGCTTGAAGGAAAAACGAAAGCCTCCCTCATCCTCATCCTCATCCTCCTTCTCTTCCACCTCCTCCTCGTCGTCGTCGTTCTCTTCCTCCTCCTAGCCTACCTTTCGACAGCCCTCCCAGCCCCAACCCGTGCACCCACCGAAACCCCTCGAAGACATGCCCGAGTCTTGTCAGCTCCTCCTCCTCCTGCTCCCCCTCCTCCTCTTCCGTTCTCCTCCTCCTCCTCCTCCTACTCCTGCCCCCTCTCCCCACGCTCATGCTCACGCTATGTCGGGCAATCGCTATCCACTTCCTTCTCCTCCTCGTCCTCCTCCCTTCTCCCCTCCCCGCCGCTGCCTCCTCCCTCTTAATTGTGAATTACTTCTCCCTGTGACACCTTCAGACGTGAACGGCGGGCCAGGCTTTTCGCCTGAGACTTCCTCGCCACTTCTGCCTCATGCCTGAAGTTTGTGCAACGTCATGGATGGAGGGCGGTCCCTTTCCAAAGTGTAGCTCTCGCCTTAGCGCCGCGCACACTCGTCTTGAAAATGTGCAGCAATTCCGCGGATGGAAACCGGGCCATTTTCAACATGTGGCTCTCTCCTGAGCGCCGCACACATTCGCTTGAAACGCTTGCGGCAGGCTCAGGGATGCAAGCCGGATCTTTTTCAAAATGTGGTTGTCGCCCTAGCGCTGCGCACATCCGAAACAGTTTCACGGATTGAAGGCGGGTCGTTTTAAACATGTGACTCTCTCCTTGGCACTGCGCGCGTTGGCCTGAAAACTGGGCGGCAACTTCAAGGACTGAGGGTGGGTGTTTTTCAAAATGTGGTTGCCGCTTTAGCGCCGCGCATACTCGTAATAGCTTCGCGGATTGAGGGAGGGTCTTGTTAAACATGTGGCGCTCGCCTTGGCGCGGAGCGCATTCGCCTTCTGGTTCGCAAAGGTTTTCAAGGATGGCGGGCGGGCCCTTTTCAGAATGTGATTGTTGCGTCAGCGCCGCGCACATTCGTCTTGAAAATTTGCAACAGGTTCAAGGATGGAAGCCGGTTCCTTTTCAACATGTGGCTGTCGCCGTAGTGCCGCGCACATTCGTCTTGAAGTTTACAGCATGCTTAAGGATTCGTATGATCGAAGTCTCAGGGGCTGCCAGGACACAACAATCAA